CGAGGACGAGGACGAGGAGGGGTCCGACCACGGAGGCAAAGACGATGGCGACCACGGCAACCACGGCAACGAGCGCGACCACAGCGACGACGACGACGACGGTGGCGACGACGGTGGCGACGACGGCGACGACGTGGGTTTTGGTGGGGAGGCTGGTGCGGGGGCGGCCCGACAGGGTGTCCCCAAGGGTGTTGAGGGAGATGGTGTCGCTGTGGGTGGTGGAGGGGAGGGTGGACCCAGCCGAGATGCAGGCCGCTACGATGGCGGCGAGGACGAGGACGAGGAGGGGTCCGACCACGGAGGCAAAGACGATGGCGACCACGGCAACCACGGCGACGACCGCGACCACAACGACGACGGCGACGACGGTGGCGACGACGGTGGCGACGACGATGGCGACGGCGGCGACGACGACGATGATGGTATGCTGGCTTTGGTCGTGAGGGACCCGCCAGTGCCTTTACTACCTCTCACACGGCCCAAGGCCTTCGCGTAGGCTGGTTTTGACGCCCACGATTTGGCGCGACTCGGTTCACATGACCCTTTCCCCCACACGGGCCGCAGGAGCGACGAGAGGCGCCCTTCTGGAGGGGCGTATTCGCCCCCGCCCTACATCGTGGATAGCCCTAGATGGTCAGGGTCGTCGCTCAGCGACAATAGAGGGAGGGTGTCCGACCCGGTTGATGGCGGGTCGGGCCGCCGTAGTGACGGCGGCGGATCTTCCAGATCGATGCCTCCGCCACCCACACGGAGCACGGAGGGCGGCGCTGACGTGACTACGCCCCGTGCGCCCGTTGCCGGTTCCCCGACACCTGTCGCAGGTGGTGTTGCCGGCGGATGGGCAGCTCATCGCCGGGTCTCGGACCGGATGAGGGCGGATTACGACGTCGGGAGGGGCGTCTTCGCAGGTAGTTTGTCACCACGGTTTCAGGTTGCGGGCAGCTGCGAGGGTGGCTCCGGACGTCCGAGTCTTCATACGGCAGGCCGCATGCTCGGTTTGTCTCGATCAGCGACAAGGAGAGTTTTGATCCCACCGCCGATTCCGGCCCCAGGGACAGCTGCGGACATGCAGCAGGGTCAACATTACACATCCGGCGAGGAGGGGTTGCTGATGCGTCGTGGGACTAGACGGCATAGCACTTTCATGGACGTCGAGGCTCGACTCGCAGCGGAGATCGCCGCCAGCCAGGCAGCATTGGAAGCGATTCAGAGGCAGCAACAGACGATTGTTGCAGCGGGGGCCGAGGACAAGGACGCGGACACAGAGTCCGAGCCGATCGACAGTGCAGTCCGCAGACATAGAGCGGCTGTGTCCCCGGCAGCACAGGCGGCATACATCAGCGGTGTGCAGGGCACAGGTGCTGGAGGGGGCCCGGGAGGAGCGCGTGGTCGACAGTCCACCGGGAGAGCCCACGGGCGTCCTTTCAGAGGTAGAGGTTCTTGACCTTCCGCAGGGAGAGGGAGGCGTTAGCGCCTTTTTTTTTTTTTTTTTTTTTTTAGGACGTCGTTTTGACAGGGTAGTTTCATAGTCATGTTGATGTTGTTGCTCGAGGTTGTATCATAGTTTTGTACTGGACATTGTTTTGATGGGGTAGTTTCCACAGGGACGGATGGTACGATCGCATTAGTTTTTTTGTGAGGTACCGTGTGTCACGGTTCGGTTGACGTTGGCGGTTTTTGGCTTCTGACATGTACATATGCATTTGGAGTGGAGTTTTATTTTCACTGTCTTGTTCTTCTACACGCTCCTCTTCCACACTCGCTTTTGCATGTGAGTCGCTGTTGTTTGGTGAGTGGTTTGTTGTCTTAAATATCTCGGACAAAATGGGAATTGTTGTCACAATGTTGCAAATTATATCTTTGTCTGATGCCACACACATGCATGTTATGGTTGCCCTCATTGTGAATGTGTTCTAAATTTGGTATGCCAAATATGGATGATATACTAATCAATGTGTTATTTCACCAGCCTCACGAATGAAATTGATGCCTGCCTCTGCTCTGCCATATGCACCCCCATCGAGGCCCCACCCAAACCCCACGCCCTAACCCCCACTCAAAACCCACTCAACCGAAGCCCGCCTGGCGCTGCACCCCCACCCGACCCCCACCCAACCCCCACGCCCCCGATGTCCAAGTTCAAGTACCCAATATCCCAGCGCTTGCAGCGGGAGACTATGTACTTGCACTTCAACACTTGAACCCAAACCCACGCAGTGCCCCGACCGCCCCCCCTCCCCCACTAAACCCAACGACAAACCAACCCACGGAACCGGCGGACCCCCATCCCCCCACGGTGTCGACCAGATACCCCCACCACCCAAAAAACGAATCCACAGGGGACGCATGTATATTTTCTGTGTTGCTTACCCTCCCCCCTACCCACGTGCATGAACGAACCGCAGTCCGGTGGACGCATGAATTTTTCCGGCCCACCCTGTTAAACCCATGTGTAGGACCCCCCCGTTTTTTATTTTTTGTTGGTCTGCCACTTCGAGGGCGTGCGCCGCCCCACCCCCACCCGAAACCCGCTCCCCTCTCCCGAAACCCCTTCCCATTTCGGTCGCGGTTGCGGCCGGAAGTTCGAAGCGGCCGCGGTCGGGGGGGTCCCGGCCACGACCGACGGTCGCGGCCGTGGCCGAATTCGGCCGCAGCCAAGGGGAAACATAGCAGGGAAGCAGATACTTTGGCGCCAGAAGCGCCAGGATCGCAGCCTTGTCGTTTTTTATGAAGATACCGTGGAGAAGTGGCCATTGGAGGCCGAGGGTGTGACAAGCAGCAGTGATTCTAGGAAGGGGGAAGTCACTGCTGCCGTGGTCAACAAGGGAGGACCACGACCGCCGGTTAAGAAGAAAAAGCCACGCTCGTTCTCAGAGCACCTCGGAATTGCGGCCGGGAAGCTTTGGGAGAAGATGGGTCTGTCACAAAAAACGTGGCAGAAATGAATGGACAATGTGGCATTGCGGGGCATGTAATTGCATGGTGCCCGTTGATTCGTAACCCAAAAGCGAGCCGCCAGTAGGAGTAGCATCTGCTCCTACTGAGTCTAAGGGTTTGGACAAAGATGAAGGTAAGGTACCTACTAACCCTTCCAACCCTTTGACTCACATGGTAGAGGATGGTTCTTCTTCGGCCCATCGTCCGGGACACCTTGAACCTGTCTTATGTTCTATCTCTCTGGACGACTCTCTTGACGAGCTTGGTAACGAGTTACTGGCATTACGAAGCTTGTGGCCTATAAGAAAGCTAAGTCTAAGGGTGACCTACTACTCGCGGACATAGAAATCGCACGTACACGCGTAGGTGCTCTGTTGAATTCAGGATCCGCACGATCCTACATATCCGAGAAAGCAATCCGCAAGTTGCATCTTAGAATGAAGGTGAAGAACCTGTCTAGACCTATCACGTCTGTTTAGGCTGACAAAAGCACGATCACTGTCTCGCATTATGTTGATTGTGTGAAGTGTCGATTTCGAACCAAGGAAGGGAAGGTAATTCTTCACGAGGTATCCTTCCTTGTAGAAAAGAACCTACCGTTCGACTTGATTCTGAGAATGGATTGGCATGAGGAAGCCAACCCATACATTAAGTTCAAAGAGAAGGTTGTGCAATTGCAAGACGCACAATTTGAATTGAAACTTATCAAACCGTTTCATAAGTCTGGGTCTGACTCTAGTCTCTTTTTTGGTTGTATTCGATCGATGGTTTTAGTTAGGAAAGCAGGTGAATGCTCTACTTCCTACCCTCCTTCGAGTGAAAAACTCCTTAGTGAGTATAAAGAGTTATTTTTCGAACCGACAGGAATAACTGGACGTGTTATTAAGCACACAATCGAAATGATTTCTAGTAATAAGATTCCCAAGGGCCCTATCTATCGGATGTCTCCTAGGGAACTTGAGGAATTAAGAAAACAATTGTAGGACTTAACAGAAAAAGGAGTCTCCTAAGCTCTTCTCCTTATGGTGCCCACCTTATTTGTGTCCAAAAAGGAAGGTGAGTTGTGTCTCTGTATTGATTACAGAGGGTTGAATGCCGTCACTGTTAAGAATGTCGAACCTCTACCACGTATTGACGACTTGTTGGACCAGTTGCAAGGCTGCAAGTTCTTCAGTAAGATTGATCTAAAGTCTGGATACCACCAGATCGAGGTGGAACCTACGGATCGACACAAGACTTCGTTCCGAACTAGGTATGACCATTACGAGTTTATGGTGATGCCCTTCGGACTGACTAATGCCCCCGCGACCTTTCAAAGGTCTATGAATGAACTATTTCGTCAGTGGCGAGATAAGTTCGTCATCGTCTATCTTGATGATATTCTAGTGTACGGCAAGAAACTAGAAGATCATGAGAAGCATCTTCATCTGGTGCTAGGGAAGTTGCGTGAGGGCAACTTCAAGATCAATCCCAAAAAGTCAGAGTTTGCTAAGTCCGAAGTGTTAACTTAGGACACATAGTGAACGAGGAAGGCCTAAGGCCAAAAGAGAAGAAGATTTCAACAATTAAGTCTATAACGGAATTATGATATTTCCTTGGTTTAGCCAGTTACTACAGGAAGTTTGCTAGGAACTTCTCAGTGATTATGCGAAGATTGTTAAAGAAAAAAACTATCTGGTTGTGGGATAAGGATTGCGAGTCTTCCTTTCGGAAATTGAAGTATGCCCTAACTCACTGCCCGGTCCTTAAGATTGCTGACCCGTCTTTGCTTTTCATTGTCACCACTGATGCAAGTCAGTATGGGATTGGAGTTGTTCTACAGCAAGATGACGACAAGGGCTATAGGCTCATAGAGTTTATGTTTGCGCGACTGCCGTCTGAAAAGGTTGCCAACTCCACCTATGAAAGAGTTGTATGCCTTAGTCCATGCGCGTAACATGTGGAAGCACTACTTGTTAGGAAGGCACTTCACTGTGTACTCAGACCACTCTACCCTGAAGTGGATAAAGGCACAACCGAGGCTCTCTGATAAACTGGTTCGATGGTCTGCATTCATTTATTCTTTTGATTTTGAGTTGAAAACAATCAAAGGAAAGTCTAATGTGGTTGCAGATGCATTGTCCAAACGGAGTGACTTCTTTAGTGCAATTGTCTCTTACTTGGATGTTTGGAACGACTTGAAAGACCAGATTCGCCAAGGATATGCTACTGATCGTATGTGTAAACCAATTATAAATATCCTTGAGCGAGATTCATCCCAACTACCCAACTATAGAATGACTGATGACTTGTTGTTCTTGATTGACCAAACCGAACAAAGATTGTATATTCCTCATAAGGAAGAGATCAAGAGTGTATTGATCGGGGAATGTCACGATTCTGAGGGTCACTTTGGTTTCAAGAAAATATATGTTGAAGTCAGAGAACGTTTCGAATGGAAGAGACTTAAAGAAGATGTACTAACATATGTCCATACTTGTTTAGTGTGTCAGAGAAACAAGCCGTCGCACGAGAACCCCCTTGGACTTCTCAAGCCATTAATTGTACCAAGGGAACCAGGTGAGTCTATCTCAATTGACTTCATGAGTAAAGTCGCAATGATTATAGTCAAGTGACGGTAATTGTGGGTCGTTTCACTAAATACACTATGTTTGTTTCCTTACCAGCAGAAGCGCGTACTGAACTTGTCATTCAGAAATTCCAGATGCGATGGGTTACTGAGTATGGTTTTTCCAAAACCATTGTGTCTGATCGAGATTTCAGGTTCACCAGTCTGCCATGGCAAAAGCTGATGGAAGCTTATGGCACACGGTTGACCATGTCGTCAGGGAGGTATCCCGAAACGAATGGTCAGACTAAACAGATGAATCGTCAGTGCCAGCAACTTTTGCGTATGTATATTAGACCCGATCAGATTGATTGGGACGAGAACTTACCCAAAATTGCGAGTGCATATAACAATAGTGTTCATACTTCCACGGGAAGAACCCCGAATGCACTTCACAAAGAGTGGAAGCCTAAACGTTCCATTGATGTACTAAACTCGGACTAGTGTCTGCCCCCAGGGACCCAAGAGTATGCAATCTTATTTCAAGAGGACATACAGAAAGTTAAAGATAATCTAAGGAGAGCTCAGCTACGGGTGATTGAACAAGCCAAGAGGCACCGTCGACCGTCTACATTCAAAGAGGGTGATTTTGTTTGGGTAAAATCTAAAGAGTTTTCACTAGAAGAAGATGTGTCCCAGAAATTGTTACCTGTCTATTTTGAACCCTGAGGAGTTCTCAAGGTAATTGGAGATGCGGAGGGACCGTCTTATGGAATTGATATTCCCCCTCATCTCAAGACATATCATGTCTTTCATGCATCCAAATTGCTGCCTTACGTAGAAGGAAATGAATTTCCTCACAGACCCTCTATGATTTCACCAGACATGGATGGCGGATACGAGGTTGACAGAATCATAGAGCATGGTTACTTCTCTACGGGAGGACGTGAACGACCTTAGAAGCAGTTCAAGGTACGTTTTAAAACTCAAACACCATTTGAGGACAGATGGTTTAGTAAACGAGAACTACTTGAAACTGCTCTTGATATTGTCGCTGCTTATGAACGAGGGTTAAAGTCTTAAATATTTATGCGGTGGAACTAAAAAATGGGCCGGCATGAATGTAATCCCTGTTCAGAAGTAGCTTGGGGCTTGGTACTCAGCCCCAGGCCATGCAAACCTGAGAAGGTCTGCGCTGGGCTATGTGACCAAGACACGCTCAGACCCGAGTTTGTCGAGCGTGGTTGTGTGACCGAACACTGCACACAGGAAATTCAAGAGTCAAAATCAATTGTAGAGTCAAAGGTACCGCACCCAGGCCCTGGGTTGGATACACTCACTTGTTGTGCGCAGGTACCCAGACAACATCCAGGTCGGAGGGAATTCGGTTTCAGGCCGAATTGATCCCTCATTCGCATTGAGATCTGGACGGCCGAGGGATACAGCATCCGGGTCCCAGACCCCGTGTCAACATTACATAAG